GGAGAGAAGACTTAAAGATTTAGTTAACATTTATAAGTCAAACTAGAAAAATGCCTAAGAAGTGCCAGCTGTGAATTCATTAAGAAAAAGCGTTGTTACAGAGTAAAAGTTGTGCCGGACTGCCAGCCTCTCTTCATAGAGCAACAGTTGGTTGTCAGTCGTATGCCTCCTGAGCTTGACTTATTGTTGAAGAAATATTAACAGTTGAAAATGTGAGAGGTCTTCACAAAAATTCACAGGAAATACATATTATGAAAAGATTGTATGCATGGATTTCAAAATTTTTTGTGCCAAAATAAACTTGTACTTTATATTTTTTCCTTGAGCTTTTGGAAGTTTCCCCTTATGTAATCAAATCTACACTCTTTGCTGGGAACAATATGTCTGCAGATGTGGGACATATTGCAGTACCCTGGCGTGCTCAGAATTTGTGTATGTGTGTAGAGTGCTTGTACTTGATGGAGATGGAGGGTGACAAGTCACTCCCCACAGGCATGGCCACGCCATAATCCCTTATCCATTTTCCTCTCGGAATTTTGGGCACGCACGCAAATACACCTGGAGTGATTTTCACGCCATTGGGTCCAAGAGACTAACTGCACTGACTGTCAGCCAGGTGGGATCCAGCCACTTTAACCTTCACTCCTCCTGCTGGTCCAGAATTTTTTAAATGAGCTATGGAAGTATCTCTTCCTTCCATTGAAATGCAAGTAAAAACTATTTCTCTTATTTCAGCTGACCTACTTGGGTGTCAAATCTCAACAATATATTGACCATCTTGAATACTTTAACCTTAACTATTTCAGGATCAAAATATGATTTATATTCAAGGATAAGATGGTGATACTCAAAATGGTGCACATGGTTTTAATGTTGAGAATTTGGCATTCCCAAATTCATGAAAAAGTGATGCTGTATTATTGAGCATGTTTTTTTAAACCATATCAAAATACTACAGCAGAAGGTGAAATATTTTCCAAAGGCAGATGGAACTATAAATAGAATTAAGATCCATTCGTTGGGACTAGCAGCTGGCATAGTGGTTACGTCGCTGGACTCCCACGTAGTCAACTGCAGCTCAAGTCCAGGACCTGGTGACTTAAAACTCTGGCCAGGTGTGTGCGTGTGTGTGCCCGAGATCCTGAGAGGAGAATGGAGGAGAAGAGATTGCAGAGTGGTCATCCCGTCGGGGCAGAGGGTGATTTCTCGCTTTTTGTCTCTCTCTCTCCATCTTTCCAGTGAGCGCATGTGCCACATAGCAAAAAATCTCTCTCTCGATAAGAAAATTTAATTTGAAAAACATTCATTTGGCTTCATTTCCTAAATGAAACATTCACCTTTTGAGCGTGCATTGCTATTTTAACTATCTGATGGAACAATTAAAATGGTTTTCAGTGAGAAATTGCTTCATAATTTCTGAGTCCAGGGACCAGCAGTTAGTGTAATGGCTATGTTGCTGGACTCCCACGTCGTCGACCGCGGTTCGTGTCCTGGACCCGGTGGTTTAAAACTCACGTCGGGTGCGTGTGCGTGCGTGCCCAAGATCCTGAGAGGAGAATGGAGGAGAAGGGATTGCAGTGTGGCCATCCCCCCGGGGGGTGATTTCTTGCTTTCTATCTCTCTGTCTCTCTCTGTCTCTCTGGTGAGTGCATGCGCCCTATGGCAAAAACCTCTCCAAAAAAAATAATAATAATAATTTCTGATTCCATGTTTGATCCAGATAGCCACAACTAAACTCTGACAACTAGTAGTGTGAGAGAGAATTTTTCAGTTTGTTAGAAACAAAAGGTTAGAAAAGAAACCAGTCAAGATTAGGTTACAGAATCAACTCCGGTTAGTTTAAGCAGAAAGATTTAATAAAAGATTGTCAGTGGCTTGTAGAATTGTGGAAAGGCTGAAGAAATGGCCTCTAATTGAACTTTGAGGAATGACATTCAAAAGCCACATTGTAGTCAGGCCATGAGCACTGTCTTTACTTCTTTGAATATCAGAAAGGCTCCTTCACAATAGGGGAGCTGTGACTTCCAGCTGCTTGGTCTAGAACCTTGCTGCTTCTCCTGCGATCAGGCATCTGTCACTTAGGAAACAGACATGAGCAAGTACTGCCTTCATCAGCCACTGCTGCTGGCTTGAGCGAACCCATCCTGCCACAGCCTACAGGCAGAATGGAGCTTGTGCCTTCTGTGTGCATGAAACCTGTGACTGGACAGTGGGACTCCCTCAAATGCTTCTGCAGAGCATGGACGTCCCGTGACAGGGCTTGCTAATAGGAGCAGCCCGAACTCAACCTTCCTTTTCTTCTGTTTCTCAGAATCTGCAGTGTGTGCATCTGATTTGTGGAACTAAATCACATCCACACTCCAGCTTCAAGAGAGGCTGAGAGAGCCAGCAGTGGAACAGAGGTTAGGACACTGGATCCCACATGGCCCACTCTGCAGTTGGAGTCCTGGACCCTGTGGCTTGAAAAACACACCAGGTGCATGTGTGTGTGCACCCCAAATCTTGACAGGTTATGGGAGCTGGATCCCATGTGGCTGACTGTGGTTCAAGTATGAGCTCTGGCAGTTTGTGAAATACTCTGAGCATGTATAGGTGTGTGCCCAAAATTCGGACAGGATGAAGCAGTGTAGAAGAAGGAATTGCAGCATGACCATGTCTCATTGGAGAATGTTTTTTTCCCTGTACGCCTCCCTCTTTCTCTGGAGTAATACGTGTGTTCTCTGGCAATTAAAAAAAAAAAAGAATAAAAATAATTTGTTTATTGAGTTTGTTGTTTATTTTAGTAGATACTTCTTAGCTTTCTGAGGCTTCTTTAAAATAAGTTAACAGGCAGAAACATACTTGAATTTACCTAGTCCAAATCATCAGGAAAGCTGTGCTGCAGCGATTTGTCTGAAGTTATGCAGCCACTTAGTAGGAGAGGCAAGGCAGAAGTCTTGGTGTCACGACCCTTAGTACAGTGCTCTTTCACTACGCTAGCCACACTGCTCTCTTGCCGACCGCTAGCCACACTGCTTTCCGGGCTTAGCACACTGATGTCTGATTTCAGCATCCACACTTTTGGGTGTTCTTTTGGCTCAGGAGTGGAACTTTACAACTAGAGTTTCTTGGTTCTTTAATGTCCATTACTGTATGATACTCACTACTTTAGATCTTGGAGATCAAGACATTCTTAGGCCTCAAGATAGGAGAATCAGAAAATAAACACTTAAATCAAAATTAACAGGGATTTAGACAGTTATAGTGCTATTAAGAAAACACTGCATAGAAATCAATATGGTAGCAGGATTATCTATGTTTTATTTTTTGGATTTTATTTATTACCTAAGTAGTTATTTTATTCATTTTTGCTTATTTATTTATTTTAGTTTGACCAGAGAGGGACAGAGAGAGAGAGAGAGAAAGAGAGAGGAAAAACGAGAAAGCAAGCGCCAGGTCTGGGGCTCGAACTGCAGTCGGCCCTGTAAGTCCAGCGCCCTTAACCACCATGCCACCTGCCGATCCTAGATTATCTACTTTGGATGGAATAGTCAGGGAAGTTTTCTCTGAAGAAGTGACATTTGAGCTAAGCCCTAAAGAGTAAGAAAGCCCCAGCCTTGTGAAGACCTGAGGGTAGAGCATCTTAGGCAGAGGCCCTGAGTTGGAACAGACTCGGTGTAGTCGG